GCAGTAGAGTCGCGTAGTCGTTGGAGGTTCAGTTGGCTAATCACGCTCGTGGTTTGTAGACAGGCGGCCCCAATAAAAGAAACTTGTAACGTCCTGAGTATCAAATGTGCCGCGAACAGCACTTTCAAATATCGTCGGTGCCGGTTTCCCCAGGAATCATCCGCGGAAAATCCTCAATGCGCTCTGAAAAGGACACAACTGAAGACCCATGCATTACACATCTTTCGCACATTCGTACAGTCTGCTAGCACCGGCAAAACTCTTCAGGAGTCCTAGCCCCTCCCTCCCCCCCCCCCCCCCCGTCCTCCGTTCTCTGTATTTGTTCTACGATGGGGAGGGGCTGTTGTGCCACCGCACGAGGAATGACTCTGGTGTTTATTTACTAACACCACACGCCCGGTCGGTGATGTTTACACCGCAAAGGGAACGCCGCCGGTGTTGCGTATCGCAGCCGCGAGTCGGTAAGATACGATCCCCTTAGCGTGTGCCGATGTAACCTTCGGCATCACTTTCTGCCATAATGTGCTGTGAGGGAAATGGGGGTAGGGGGACTGCAACGTATTTTGTTGGCAAGTCTGTATCAAGAACCACTTATTTTTCTCCGGTGCCGTCTTCATGGCGTAGCTGGACTGCGGCTTGGAGTCGAGCTACGCCATGCGTTACAATGCCATAATATACAACCGGAGTTAACCTTCCGTTCACGCCACGCCCTCCATCGGTTGGGCCAAAAGCTTCCGTAGCACTGCTTGGTCCAAGCGGTGCTTAGAACGACGAGTTAAATTATTTTGTCAGCCAAATACTCATATTAAAGAACTAATTTGAAAAGGTAGCACGATGAGCATCGAACCAGCCAAGCATACACCCTAATAAGGATCGGGCGCGCCGTAAAGTTCAGTATTCATTAGCAATATCAGCCACATCAGCGATGAAAACAAGTTCACATTTTAATTTTAGAGTGCTTCATGGTGCCTCGGAATTAATATGACCAAATACGAATACTACTGCGTGCGTCGCTCGTGTACCACTAGTCGTTAAGACAGAAATGCCCCAGCGGTAATTGATGCGACCACGACCTGGTTACACATTTTTTGTTTGTTTTAAAAGAAAATAATGCAACACGTCTGTGCAAGTTAGTAATTACCGGTCGTCAAGGACTGATCGGGTATAAGTTTAAAAAAATCGAAAATGATTCTTTTTTTAATTGCCTCACAAAAATCGTAAAAATTTGACTTTTTCGATTTCGACGAAATTTCCGGGCGCAACGCAGAAAATACTTTCAACATTAGAACGCTAATTAATTTGTTAGAAGTTCACGAAGCATGAAACACTCGAAATAAAAAGTTTCATCTTCAGAACAAAAATTTAAGGCGACTTAAAAATTCTTCAAAAATTCCTCATTATGTAAGATTTGCTCCTGAAGCCAAGTTTGTCATTTATTTCGCTTGAAATATATCCTCATATAAGTTACATTTAACTAATTCTGACAGAATAGTATACGTGCATTAAACATGAAAACGTCGACGGTGTAGAAAGCTTTATTCTTTATTCCTACGGCCTTCAAAGTTGCGTCATCGCGCCGTTGAAAAAATCGTTTTTTCAACCATCTCTGGAATGCATTTTTTTTACGAATACAAAGAAGTATCTTGCAAAAGTAAGGTCTGTCCCGTTGTGTGGACAGGTTTCGCTACCTCATAAAAATTTAACTGAACACAAAAAATACGCATCACACCAACATGACAGTCTTTATCTGAACCCACCACGCAACGAAAAATTTGCTCGATGTAAACGGGCGTGGCTTCCCGCTTGAAAGTGGGTAAAGGGTACATTCTCCCGCTCCTCAAACATTCCCCGACACCGTCTTGGCCGGGTTGTCAGCAAAGTTTCTTTGACGTTGTTCTGCCACCACTTTGCATTTATGCTCGAGCTGGAGCAGCCAGCGTTCCAGGGTGGCCCCCGTGACGTCTTCGAGCGGGCGTTTCCCAACACCCACCTCTACGTCTATCTTTTGTCCGGTTGGACCCCCCCCCCCCCCCGGGAACCGGAGCTGCGCCTGCCTCGACGTTGCCAGGTGACGTCGCACTCTGGTGCACACCTGCCAGTGGAGTGGCTGGAGCCGCGCTCGAAGGCTGCTCCAACGACGAGGCGTACGCCCCCTCAGATACGGTGTCGGACACCTCGTCCTTCCTGAGCTGTTCCGTCGGAAGCACCACGGAGGCTGCCGCTCTCCCGGCCTTATCCTCATCTATAAGGCGATCGTCGGTCTTGTCGTACGCACCTCGTCGTGCCATCTGGGCGTACGAGCGGACGCAGTCGGCCCGTTCGTGGCCAAAGGCCTGGTACTCGATGCACCTTGGGGCCCGGCAGTCACGACGGATGTGGCCCGTCATGCGGCACGGGAGGCAGATGGGGGCCCGCCAAGGCGCGACCACGAGCACCGAGCCACCGTCGAGCCGATGCTGGTGAGGCAGGCGGTCGAGGCTGACGCCCTGTCGCAGAACAAGGCGCACGATCCTGGTCGTCGACTCGGCGCCTTCGATCCGCGGCACCCTCCAACTCACGTGCGCCACCTCCTTGACTTCCCCGAACTCGGAGAATTCCCGTTGGATGGCGATGATGGTGACGCCGAACGCCCCCCAGTGCAGCCCCACCGGCACCTCCTGCCGGAAAGGGTCGACGACGAGGCATGTGCGGCCCTCGGCGGCGAGTCGCCCCGCCTCGAGGAGCTTCATCTTGGCCGCGCCGGTCGTAAGGTCGAGGAGAGAGATATAGGACATCGGGAACGCCCCAATCCTGGCAACCTCACCGAGCACGCCTGCTTCACCGAGTTGCTGACAGAAGTCATCGATGCGATATGGGCGACAAGCTGTGTCGCCATGGAGCACGACGGCACGCTTCATCGCCTTTCCTGAAACCAGCTGGGGCAGAAGGACCCTGTAATTGTCCGGGACGGAAAAAGCCGAGTCACCACGGCCGGCGGGGGCCGTTATCGCCGCTTTGGAGGAGCTCATGACACTGCGTCCAATTACTGTTTATTTTGAGCACCATTGGGCATTTGCAGCATTATTTTATGAGCAATGACCGAAAGCAATTACGACCTGGGAGATGGCAAAGGTGCATTACGCATTTCGCACAGTTGGTACACTGGTAACTGCACTTGCAATATCTGCGCCTGTTTTTTTTTTTGTTGTCGGAGTATTGAGGTTACTGGTGCACGCTTCATGCCTCGCATCCCCAGTCAGCTTTAGTTTTAAAGCACAGTGATCTCTTTTGAGAAGGCAATACTATTCTCAACTACTCAGCGCAGGTATCATCGCCCTGGCGATAGAGGGAGCTACATTTATTGAGGCGCACATGGTGAGAGATAGTTTAAATCATTCTTGAGTTGTTAGTGCTGAGCAATACTGGGCATCAAAGGGTTAAGCGCCTTCCTGTAATTTTAGACGAACTGAAAGACATAAACATGTCAACAGCCTCTAAGCGCCGCCACGTAAAGTGGTGGCGCTTAGAGGCTGTCGTGGCAAACTTGAAACCGCGATTATTTACATTCTGTGACGCTGCGGGAAGTGAAATGTATCGCAATTCGTTTAACTAAGAAAACCTTTTCCGAACACGTAGTGTCGTCGTTGGAAAGGGCTATTTTATGAGAATATATAGCTCCCTACCCGCAACATTTCCATGCATAAGATAATACAAAAATGTAAATAAAAACTTGACATTTTAATTACATAAAAAGAAGCCCCTAAAGGAACATAATTTTTTAGCTTTATTGTTTGCAAGCGCTTTGGCATCTTAGGCACGTTGACCTCCTTTTTGTAATATAGTCAACCTCTACACGGAAAGAGGAATGCCAGTGAACTGCTAAATACCCTTGGAGTGAATACAATCTGTTATTGTATCCTGAGCCTCTTTTATTATTTTTTTAAATGATACGTTTGGGCTAGTTGGTTAATAAGCATATTGGTTTAAAACAGCGCGGCAAACAAGGACAAAGTGAAGACGTCGTCTGTTGGCTGTCTCGTCTTTACTTTTTCCTTGTTTGGTCGCGCTGTTTTAAACCAAGATCTCAATTTCTTCTCCCATTACACGAATTGCTACATTCGGCGGAAAAGTCACACTAGTTACACCATTAATTCAGGGTTCATAAAAAAAAAAGTTATTACCTTCTGCAAAACACTACAACAATAACTGTAAATCGTGCTATGTTAATGGGAACACAATGAATTAGATTTAACTCAAGAAAATCGATCAATCCGTATTTTAGACGGATCAATGAAACTATTTGATATGGTTCAGAACCATTCTGGTGAAACTAGACGAATCTCCCTAATCAGAGATATTGTACGGAATAAGTGTCTGAATCAACCGGAGCTTATTAAATAAAAAAATAAGTAATTTTAACAATGTTTCCGCTTGTTTCGGCTGCATTTTCTGCAGCGTCCTTTTTTATCTAAGAAAGCGAGGCTCAAAGACGGCTGCATGATTGTGGTATATAAGAATTCACTGATACTCGTCACCGACGTCGCTGAGTGCATATGTGAGATTCCTTTTTGTCCCGTTATTTTACGCACAGCACCGATGCAATGCCACGAGAACCATGAAACGAACCGGAGGCGTACCGGTATGTTCGAGGTTTGCCCACCTCCGATGACTTAAAATTCCCGAGCAGCTCACATTAAAATTGAACTGATTTAGAGAGATACTTCGCTTCCCCCAAGTAAAACATATTTTAATTACTCTTGCTCTCTAGAACCGGACCCGGGTGGCAAATATGGGGTACACTGACTCATTGAAGCGCCCTGAAACACAACAGGGAATTGTCGCCAGATTTCAGGCATGTAGGATTCCAGCGACCTGGGTTCAATGGGCTGCATAATATATTAAAAAGGCCGTAGTTCCTCTGGCCTCCATTGAAATAGGGGTGTTCGTTTCTTACCCCCCAAGTTTTCCAAGCAGACACCGATTGCAAACACTGGGCGTAATCATCAATTACACATCCACCTAGTATTACCAAAGCCCGCCTTGGTCTTAGATCAAAAGTCAGTTTGAACCCATCCACGGAAGGGCCGAAAATCCAACCAACGCAGGTATGTTCCAGATCCGGCTTGTTGAATGTCATGAGCACAATTCACGACACAAAAACAGTTGGCACACGTCTTGAAATTCATCCCGACAGCACTGCACGTGATTGTGACGATACCGGTTGATAAGGCACCATCCCAATGGCGTCCTTGTGAGCTATACTTTCAGACCACAGCTATGTCCCCGTTGGTGATCAACTTTCCCGCACCAATGGAGCCTATAGTCTTCAAGGGCTGTCCGGGAAAGCAGTCGCCCGAGGACGCTTCGGGAGCATACGTTGAGGTGGTGAAGGCGTTGCCTCCCTTGCGCATCGTGGACTCGCGCTCAGGCCCAAGGTCGCTGCGTCTTCTGCACGCTCGAATGATGTCCCGGAGTCCGCGACGGATGTGGGCGTTGAAGAGGCCGTAGAAGACCGGGTTGACGGCGCTATTGAGCAGGGCCAGCGTCTCGGCGAACACGATGACCGCCCGGGGGACCTTGATGCAGTAGTGACTGTGGATGCGGACATTGTGGACGGCGAAGTACGGGATCCAGCAGACGACGAAGCTGGCGATGATGCAGACCTGTTGGGGGGAGATATGATAAGAACGAGTTGGCAACCACACGTAATACCTTTATTCCGCAGACATACAGTTTATACATCACAGAAAGGACCCGGTGTTTCCTGCAGACATGGAACATAACTATCTGCGAAAAAAAGAACTCAAGCATGTTGTAAGCACGTCTGCTTCGTACATTTGTATGATTAAAACATATTTTCAGACAGTTGTTTGTGTGACCAAACTGACAGGACCATCCTACAAGGCAGAAAAGTGTCTCAGGCAGTGTCCGCATACTGTGTTTTTTATGATATATCTGTAGAGTGCCCGTGGCTTTAGTGAGTTTATGCGTATATTAGGAGGTTATTAGCGTGTGTGGAGATCGCGGAATTGTTTATTCAGAATTGCACTGGGATTATTTCAAACCCGTCGTCACGGACGTGGAAACCCGTCGCCAAAACTTCAGTGCACATAAACCCACAAGTCGAGGTACAAATGGCGCAACCAGCTTCTAGAAGACAACGCATTCCAGAAACTTTTCGCGGTTCGTTTGGAGCTTGTTAGGTTTCCTGGAATTTTGGGCGGGTGCTTTTTTTGTGCAGCAGTATGCACATGCGTCTTTTTAATTTGTGAGTATAAGAGCCCAGCTGGTGGGTAACTGTCCGGTTAGTTAATGATAAGTTGTTTTCGGATAGATTACGAAACGTGCAGGCGTGAGGCCATATAGTTGTTCTGTAAACTGTTGTCCTCTGCGCTGGCAGTCGTGTGGACAAAGTACTTTACACGGTCAACGCTCACACCCGTGTCTTGTGGGGAAGTAAAATACATTTAACACTAGTCCCAGAAGCGAAACTACGCGAGTCATAAAAAATAAAGACCTTTTAATTATCCGCAGCCTGTCCTATGGCTGAACGCTATAACCTATAGCATGAACATGTTATTCAAGTTTAGCATGAACATGTTATTCAAGTTTACATCACATAAAGATACCGAGAGAAGCCCCACCTTTGAAAGATTTTGAATTTGTTTTGCTATTTTATTCCAGACACCAATAAATAGTTCACGTCTAATAATTGTACAGTGCACGGCTCAGTGAGTGCCTCGGCATAAATGTGTTTGGTAAGCTATTACTGGATATAATCACATTGATGTCTGTGAATATAGCCATCTTTGCTTCTTCGCCCCTCGCCGCAATAACAAGTTTAGCAGGGATACATGGATCTAAAAGTAGCATCTTTCAACTTTCCTTGATTGCGCATTGAATATCAACGCATACCTTATTTTAAGGATGGCTAGTTGGGCTAGTTGGCTTTGCATCATGGTGTAATTCGGCAAAACAACAGGGACAAAAAACGAAGGGAGAACTAGACAGGGCGCGGCGTATTGGATGACAGAATTAAAAAAAAAATATAAAGCAGGCACACTTGGCAGAATACCAAAGATATGGTCTAAACCCCCCCCCCCCCCCCCCCTTCAAATGCCCGCGTGATTGGTTCTTCAAATAGTAGAATTCTTTATCAGTCAAGGACAAAGAGGGAGCGCTTATACAAGTATTGTCGTGGTGGGACGTAATCAGGAAGGCTTCGCGAATTTCTCTTGCCGTTTTTGTTCTTTAACGGCCCATGACACAGGTGTCACCAAAGATGGGGCTGCACTTTTCAGAGAATGGCCTGCAATCGCAACGGTCACAGTGGACCGCTAGAGGAGAACTAGACAGGACGCGGCGATACGTCGCGTCCTGTTTAGTTCTTCCTTCGTTTTTTGTCCCTGTTTTGGCGTATTACACCATGATACCTTATTTTCACTAAATATTTCCTAGTTTTGGGGGGGACTATCTCTGGGGGCTTTACGTAGTTGGATTAATATTTACAGTCAAATTTTACAAGTAGACGAGGAAGGCTTGAAATGCTACTTCTGAAATAATAAAAAAAATGTCTAGTTAGTTTATTATAAAATAGTATGATGCGCATGTTTCGAATAAAGGTTGCTACAAAGAAGAAGAAGAAGAAGACGAAAAAGAAGAAGACGAAAAAGAAGAAGGAGAAGAAGACTTTGGAAGCGAGTAAGCCCATAAGTCTGAAAATGTAGGTCTCGGTTTGCTGAATCTCGTGTTTCATAATATTCCGGAAACTAAAATGAAAGGCGCTCCGGGGACACGTTTGTATGTTTATGAGAACACTAGACACCGCGCAAGTGCAGTGAATATTGATTATGCTGGCTTTCTGGTTCAAGAAGTGATTAGGAAATTTGACAGCATCGCGTGACTGTGGAGATGCCGGGTTAATTTCCGTGCGATGAACGCTCGTCGTGCCGTGAAGCTGAACGCGAACGGCGCAGAGACGGATCCCATTCATGTTGCTCATGATGCGGAAGGTACGACATCACTAAACGGATGAAAATCTGAACAACCAGAAACTTCTTACCAATTTACAGAAGAATGCAACGTAATATTTCCCGTTACTATATGAAATTAGAAAACCAAATTATCTTACTCTACCCTGTTGTAGGCTGTCGCGAAAACATTATTCGTGAAGGCCCGATTCTCTAAAAAAGGTTTTAATAGATATCACAACGTCAAATTCCATCTTCTTTAGAGAATAATGCCAATGAACAGCCTTCTTAGATTCGTGACCGGTGCAGATTATATATATCCTGTAATGCAATTATTCTTTGTTTCACCATAAGCCCAAAGGAAGCCGACGCTACGAGCTGAAGAAACCAATCAGACAGGGTCAAAAGTGCACCATCATGGTGTTCGTCAAGTTTCTCTACGTGTTTTAATATTGTTGAACCAACAATAAACATGATCAAAGGGCTAGCGACTTGCGTTTATGACGCCGCCTGATTTGTACCATTACTTCGTAGCGTTGACTGTATCATAGGATGTCAGGTTATGAAGCTGTGAAGATTAAGTACGACCACACTAAGAATGTAGAGTACTCTTATCTCTTTACCTGTCTGCAGGTGTTACTGGAACATTAGACCGAATTACGAAACATGATAAGCCATGAAAAGCCAACCTGTCAAACTTCTTTAATGGATAAAGTAGAAAAAAAAGGAACGTGAGAGTCTATACTTTGTTTCATCTTGCATCGAGCGCAGCCGATACAGCGAACCGATGGGACTGGTCAAACAGCGTCAAATGCACAACGTCACTGCGTGCGTTTGTGATCTTTCCTTCATGTGTTCCATTGTCCGCTAAACCAATCGAGCGCAGTGAATGCGCATTGACTTGCACCTTCAGTATATTTGTTCGTGTTGGTACGTGCTTCACCCTTCGACTGCGTTCAGACTTATGATAAACTGAAGTGAATATCCGTATATTTCTCGTCTGGTTTATCCTCAGATAAACCCTTTCAAAAAGAATCCAAGCAGACGCCCGTCTGGAGCAGCGCCTCATTATATTTAACTTATACATTTCATTACAAAACTTATATTTACGATATACCTCACGTGCGTAGAGATCACTCAAAGCTTCAACTATTAAAATGAACCCCGGAATTTATGTTGTTTCACTATCCAATGCGAGTAGGGGCGAACTGACACAATTTCCAAGTTTGGATTTCTCATACTTGGTACAACTTCCCTTGGGCCTCGAATGAGTCTATAACATCCAGCGAGAAGATTTCAGCTTGAGGGCGTTTCACTTTTTGTTTGGTGTCCGCGCGCTTTGCGTTGCGTTACAATGCAGCTGCGTCTGTGTCGACATTGGCATGAACCGCGCGTTTAATATGAAGTGCAGTGGCCAACTTGTCGATTTATATGCCAATGAATACGCCCAGCACAAAAGGTATCTTTAATGGGCACTCTGCAGATCAAACTCAGTGCCGATTCGCGCGCCCCTCGCGGCGGCGTCGGGCGTACTCATCGGGAAGCGATCTCGGCTGTCGCAGCTCAACTGCAGTGGTCACCGGCGATTGTCGCAAAGTCGACATGCCTGCTTGGTCTACCAGATTGGCAGAAGAACGGGAGCAGCGTGAGCGACGGCGGAGCCCTACCGCTTTCCTTACGGTGACTCAAAAGTGGATGCGGGCGGGGCTGTTCGCTGGCCAATCAGTAGCGAATCCTAGCGGCCGCAGGGTGCCCATATAGGTCCTTTTGATATCGGCAAATAAGCACGCAGTTTTGGGTCGCGAGCACATGCCACGACCCAACATGAGAACTGATTGGCCGCGGACAATGTAGGCCATTCAGTTGAAGGTACATTTATGATCGTGTGAATGAAGTATAAGGTTGCCCTCTCCCCAAACGGGTTGGGCACTGCCACGTGACGAAACCCACAAATGAGAAATTTCCGCAGGCTTGGCTCACGTGCGAACCCCCAGCTCACTTTCAAGCACTTCTTTCTGCAGCAACAAAACATAATGACAGGAGGAAAAAGGCCGTCCCAGTTTTTTTGAAGTTACACTATTGCTAAGAGGCCGTAAAGCAGTGTTTGTGTTGCCCTTAACATTTTGATAGCGCTCCGGCTTACCGCCTGGCCAGTGATAATCGCAAGTAGAGAACTTTCGATAATTGGGACTACCAGATGTTTGCCGTCTCCCTACTTTCGTGTTGAGCCAATACCAAGTTAGAAGGCGAGGCAAGTGAATGACGTCATTTTTAGTGGACATCCAAGTACTACAAGCAGTTACCACACTGAATCTCGACAATAGTAGGGCACAAAGCGCCAGACGCCTCTATCTTGGCACCGCGTGCTCCAGCACTGCCCTCTATGTGGCACGCTGTCAACGCGTCGCTGACGCGAGATAGGCGCTATTACCGACATCCACTGATGGTGACGTCAGAAGAGCAAAGGTGAAAACCTCAACTTTTATGTGGTATTGACTGATCAAACCCCACCTATACACTAGTCTATATTCCGTTCAGCCTTATGTTTTGACACAATAGTGGTTAAGAGCCCATGTTAGCCGATCCAGCACCCCACACGCATAACATGGCCTGATGTTTTGCGCGTTGCTTTGTTTCGACAGGAAGGTCACGTGACACAACCTGAGATATGCATTGGCTCCGGTGGATTGTAGCGTCTGTCACACACGTCTTACCGTGAGCTTGAGCGTCTTGGCTCGCGCACGCGACAGTAAGGGCTCTGCCCGGGTACAGCGCCGTAGCGTCGTTGCTCCGTTGCCACTGTCCTTAGCCGGCGTGACCGCGATGGCGTCGGATGCCGCCGACACGGCCCTCAGCAGGCTCAGGTAGAAGGCGGAGATGAGCAGGCCCGGCACGACCAGGATATAGAGCGTGAGCCAGCTGAAGTAGAGCTGCCGCTGCCAGTGGTGCGTGTAGCCCACGCTCAGGCACTCCAGGTGGGGCCGACCGGACGCCGTCACGCCCGTCTGAACCTGGGAACCATCGCCGTACTGGACGTCATTTCAGGGTCATGCGTGTGTTTGATTCGCTCTCGTAAGGTTTTTGTGAAATAAGGTATATGATAATCAACTATCACGTGGTTCTCAGAGCAGCTTTGGAAACGCGAAACATTAAATGGCGCATAACGTGCACTTCCATACCCACACTATTAATTGCTTGTAATTGCTTGTAATTTCACAATATGCTAATTTTATACTTTCCATCGCAATGGCATCTTTTGCGCAAGTAAGTGTGAAGTATTTTCACCTCTATTAGAAGAAAGCACAATTTTGCTCTGCTGAACTTTCTGATACGGATGCCGATGTGAATGACCTGTATGCCTGGGGTATTCCCTGCATTACTATAACACAGCATATACCAGAGAAGATGTCTGAACCCCTGCGTTCCCCACAGCACGCGGAGTTACAGTCAAAACACGTACAATAAGTCAGGGAGTAGAAATAAAAAGACTGTTTGGTGTGCTCTGTTGAAAGTGGAAAGTCATTCACAGCGTGCTCTGCAGTAAATGAAACGTGAAATTTGTTTTGTTTGTTTAAAGAACTTGTGCATGTAGTTGCGTATTACAGCTTTGGAGTGCTCATCTGCAGGTTCAAGGAAGCTATCCATTTTAATATCGATATGAGTTTTGACCGTAGCTCGAGGAACTCTTTTTCAAACCTTAATGAGTCATGTGGGTTGTCGAATATTATCAACCACCCTACAAGAATAACAAATACCTCATTTTCTTTGCATGATTTGTTCATGACCAACTACGAGGAATCGGTGATAACATCAGGGGTTTTCTTAACTAATATAAGCGATCATCTTCCCATTTGTTTGTGCTTGCAAAATGAACGTTCCCAGAAAACCCGCAGTGACTTTGTCCCGGTTTGTTAAGGTTCTGTCTATCACTCCTCATCAGTTGCGCCATTTTCTAAAAAAAAAAAATAAAGTACATTGTGACAAATTTTGACAACAAATTCAGTTAATTCAACATAAAATTTATTCTTAGATGCATTAGTGCAATCTATAGGAACCATTCTCCTTTTGTAAACCTCCGAACCTCTAAGATCACGTAGGACTTGGATCATGCCTAGACTACAGTCAATGATACGGAATAAGGATAATTTATATGAACATCTTTTTGAAACGAGAGACGTGAGCAAGCTTGCAACCTTTAAAAAGTTCCAAAATATTCTCACCAGTCATTTAAGGACAGCTGAGAGTGACTACAACAACAGGTTTTTTGATTCATTAGAAACTAAGAAATCTTATGTTATGTGAAAGAGAATAGAATCATTGCTCAACCATAAGCCACTCCAAAGAATGCCCATGAAATCAGTAAAAACCTCTTTAAAGTAGCAGAGGTCATCATGGCAAATGCCATGATGACCTCTGATTTTTTTTTTGTAAATGTTGGTGCATCTACTTGTGTGTAATCTTGATGTATAGACCGACACGCGGGCTTGACGTCACGGCGCTGCGGCGGCGCTGCGATCGCGCCGGAGCCGGGGGGTGTGGGCAAAAGGGCGCACGTTTCGCATGGGCGTCATAGCATTTCAGCATTGCGCGAAGCTGTGTTGCCGTTAATCTCACCGAAATGTACACGAAAAGTAGCCGTGTGAGCTTATACAAGTACCCGGCAGACACTGAAAGGCATAGAAGGGGGATAATATCCGTGGATCGAAAATTATGGTCGCCTCGCGCCAACGACCGTTTTTGCGGCAAGCACTTCCTTGGAGGCAAGTGCGGCCTCCATTTCAATCTCCGTCCCGAGGCTTGCTTATGTGCAGGGAAACCGTCGTCTGATCGAAACTACCCGGATTTTGTCCCCACGGTGTTCGCGCACAAAGCACCGGCCAAGCGCTCGTCGGAGGCTCGCCACGCCCGTGCTACCAAGCAGAAGGGGATCGGCGACAGAACGGCAGTATTGTAGGCGTTACCGAAAAAAAGTAACGAAATACGTTACTTGTTACTTGCAAATCAAAGGTACGCGTTACTGAGCTACGTTGACTAAAAATAAAAGGAACGCGTTACCGCTACCGATAAAAAGTAACGCACGTTACCTCTGCGTTACTTTTTAAATTATGATTTAACACGTTTTACGGTTTTGACGATGCAGGTACGCATAAGCTCATATATCAAGAAACATTATGTTCATGCAGAAACTGAACATAATTACTTTATCTCTTTTTACGGTTTCACCTAAATACTCAAGAGAAAAAACGCTAAGAAAAACATGGCTTGACGTCTAAAACACGGAAAAATTGAAGAGTAATTGTAGTAACGAGTAACGTAACTACATTACTTGAAATAGTAGCGTAAGTACGTTACCCTTTACTGTGTCGAAAAAGTAACGAGTAGGTTACTACGTTACTGAAAAAAGTAACGCGTTCCTGGTAACGCCGCTACTTGTAACGTGCTACCGCCAAGACTGCAGAACGGACAAAGCGGTACTGCCTGTCATGCCTTGTGGTCATGACGGTAGGAAAAATAGCATACCTTGACTTGAAGACGCTGTGTGTATTTATTTAATTAATAAATACACTTCCGCAGACCCACAGTCTGCTGATCCCACCGGCAGTGCGGAAACCGACTCGAAGTAATCATAGGCCTCTAGAGACTTGTACGCCTGCTCCGTGTCGGCCGTGAACTGGCTTGGCGAAAAAAACTAAATAAACGACGACGTAAGCCGTGGACTTCGGTTGCAGCAACTTCACGTCGGAAGTCCAGCAGGCCTTGTTTACGGCGTACGGATCCTCGTACGCTACGCCGTCCACGCAAAGTTTGATTCGATACCGCTGCCTTTCAGGCTCGGGTAGCGAGCTCAAATAGTCGGGCATAGCATACGACATACGTTGCCAGGAAATAAGACTCACAAATAAAGCTAGAAGCGTCCCTAGAACGTCAACAACGAGCGCACGCCACACAGTGCAATGGCAAAAACACGGAGAGCCTAGTCGCTTTTGCCCACATAGCTACCGCGCATGCGCGGCCTTCCGGCCGTGTTGGTAAACAGAGCCGCTCCGCGTGTCGGTCTATAGAAAACGCTTTGAACATAGATAAAGTTCATGCGATTGTCGCAGACAAGTGCATTTTTTTTGTTCCCCACTGATGAGTCGGAAGTGTGCTCAACTATTATGAATTTTCAGAACAGTAAAATTATTGACGCCTCTAACCTGTTAATAAGACCTCTAAAATAGGTTATTGATATACTTGCACCATATTTAACATATCTATATAACCTTGCTTTTGAAACTGGCGTTGTTCCACTCAAAATGCAGGTGTCAAAATTTAATACCCTACACAAACGCGGGAATACGTTGAACATGAGCAACTATAGGCCCATTTCAGTTCTTCCTATTCTTTCCAAGCCACTTCAAAACTTTGCATCAAAGGCTTTTAACACATCTTGATAAACATTTTTTTATTTCTGATTTACAATTTGAATTTCGTGAACTTCGCTCTTCTGAAACAGCGTTATTGAAACAAAAAGGAGTAATTGAAAAGGCATTCGGAAAAAGAAAGATAACTTTAGCCTTTTTTTTTTATTATTCAAAAGGTATTCGATTCCATGAATCATCACATTTTACTGGAAAATTTTTTTCTGGAATAAGAGGCATAAGCGCTTGATATTTTAAAATCCTTCTTACTTAATAGGAATCAGTACGTGCCATTTCCGAATTCCCAATCAGATAGGCTACCCATATCATCGGGAGTTCTTCCGGGCAGCATTTTAGGGCCATTTTCATTTATTATGTACATTAACGACATCTTAAACGTGGCTCAAAACGGTGATGTAAGACTGATTATTTACCCGTATGATACGAGTATTTTTGCTTCCCTTGAGTATGGTACTGCTTCTACTGCAACAATGAAAGAAGTGTTAAGAAAAATTACAGCCTGGACACTCAACAACAAATAACGTTAAACAGTAAACAGACCAAAGCCATTCCTCAAAACCTTGAACTAAAATGATAAATGTTCAACTTTACCTTAAAATAAACAAATGGAATTCGTAAATTCATCTCAAATAGTTGGTGTCTTCTTTTCGAATGATATGAGTTGGAATGCTCATATAGATCATGTTCAATCAATATTATCTATAAACGTTAAGCTAATAACAAATTTTAAAGCTACACTTCCTTCTGATATCAAATAAACTGCTTAGAATTCGTTAGTTTGTTTAGATTTGAAATACTGCAACCTTATTTAGGGCACCACGACCATAACAAACATTACAAAGTTGCACCTTTTACTAAAAGGGTCAAGGCGTGCATTTTCTTGTGTTCCGATTCTTCATTCTACAACTCCACTATTTAAAGCCCTAAACGTAAAAACCTGTCAAGAAATATACGTTAAAACTGTTAACAACGTATCGTAGGGCTCTTCAGCATAACAATGTCCAATTCATTCAATTAGCTAACCTAAAACATCGCGTCATCCTGCGTGACCTAAGACATAATCAGCCCTGAATAATTCGTCCATGACGTACTAAGGGCATTGATCAGACGCTTCATTTCAATTTGTCCACCATGCTAAATGGTTTGTCTAGAAAGTGTCTAAGTTTAGAAACCCTCTCATATGAAGAATAATTAAGATTGGTTATGTCTTTGTGTGACCTTTGAATACTCTTGTTTTTGTTGCTTAATTTTTCGTGCGTTATGTGTCATCTAATATGCTATATTTTCGTGTTCAAAGGTCTGGTGTCTTCGGATACTTTTGTGCTTAAATTATTCATTACATTTAATATTCGTATATTAGTATAATATAATTATCATATTTGTATTTTTAATTTTTTTCCTGCTGTCACGAACTTCACGGCGCCCGGCAGCTTCGTCAAGCTGCAACTTAGCAGATTTTTGTCTGACACCCCTATTGTCATGTAAGATGATGTGACTATGATCTGATTTGATTTGATTTGAATTTTTGTTTTTTATTGCTTCTCTGGTTAGTCAATATAAGTGACTGCCGGCGAGACGCATCCTGAGCTGCACACCTGGACGAAGATGAAGAGCTGTGGAGTGGCAAAGACGAAGGCCATGACCCAGGAGGCGGCGACCATGCAGCGGGCCCGCCTGAGGCCCGACCTGGACTCGAGGGGCTTGCAGATGGCCATGTACCGGTCGTAGCTCATCGAGGTCAGGATGAACGTGGTCGAGGCCAGGGTCACGATCTGTAGGTACACGACGGCCTTGCAGGCCACACCGCCCAGCACCCAGCTGCCAAAGACCTGCGTGTTCCGTTATATAAATAAGAATTGAAGGTCTGTTAGACATTGTTACTTTTTGTCCCTCACTGTTTTTTTTTTTTTTGCTGCTTAATTTTCTGGGTTTTTTGGATGAGCAATGATTTCAAACTGCACCATTTCCATACAGCTGAGAATGACGAGCGCAAAGGATCAGAGCTGACGTCAGGCCTTTGCCTTCCAGTTATTAAAACAATTTTAAGATGCCTATTGACCTTAGCGGACTTTCGTTATCGGTGAAAACTTGCAACTAAGAACGATTGAAGCAATTCTCATGCTAACTGAAACACCAAGGCAAAAGAAGGTAGAAGGCAGAAGAATCTTACACCAAAAGATGAAAATTTGGTTCATTAAGTTTGTCAACCCTGACGACATTCATGCTGCGAGTGGGTGGTTTTGATCAACTTCTATAACCGCTCCCCTTGTTCGTTTTTCCCTTCCATTTATGTTCTGGAGCAAGTTCGCGTATCCTTGTTTGTACTGATACATACCGGGCGAAGTACATAACACGGTCGGACACTGAATTCCGACGCACATGTCGGCCTAGCAATAAGGCTGCGTGCTCGCCCTTGTTACCGTCATTGCATCGACTTGCATTCCAAGTCGAGAACAAGCCTCGCGAGAGAGCTCCTGTCAAAGCGAAAATGTCTTCTAAAAGGGAAAGCCGTACCTGTGGCATTTCTACTCTCCAAGCAAGAGTGAAGGGCACGTTCAGTAGGAACGTGCGTAGCGTTCCTGGTTGGGCACGCTTTTCAAGAATTTTTGTGCATATTGGGGATCAGGCTTGGAATATCATCCTGACGAAGGTTTTCTCAGTTTTCCATTGTAGTTTTGTTTTTCTTGAGCATCTCAGAAATCCGACCGGACACCAACATTAAGTAAAAGGACTATCTTGCAGTTCTTCTGTAATGGCTTGCCTGGAGACAATAACTGACAGCGACGACCGAGGGGTCGTTGTAGTTCGTACTATATGTACGAAAAGTTCCAGAGAAATAAGAACCGTGTTTTTCGACCCGGATAAATAAACTATGCATCGCAGGAAGCTCCAACTTCGTGAGAATGTAAAGCTAGTGGTTGGAATGGAATGCGAAAGTTTGAGAAGATGACCTTGCCTGGATTAAAAGATAACTGACAAAAACAACATTTCTCTATGAGACGACGTCCACCTAAGCCTAATATCGTCAAAACAAGAAATGATATTGTGAACGCTCGTGGGATTCATCAGTGAAAAACAATCGTTAGCAAAAAGGAAAATATTGTTTTCTTTCTTGCTGACAAGTTTGTTTCACTGAAATAGATGATACAGGCCCCCACAATGTAATTTTTTACAATATTAGTCTTAGGCAAACGTCAGATTAGTGGCAGAGTATGTTTTTTATCAGTCATCTTTTGATTCATGTAACGTCCAGTTCTGAAACTTTCGCACTCTATCCCAACTGGTAGCGCCACATTCTGACGAAGTTAGAGCATTTTGGTACGCGTAGCTTGTTTACCCTCTCCAAAAAATACGGTTCTATTTTCGCAGAGACATCCTGCACATTAAATAGTAGTTTCGGGGAGTGAAGAAAAAATATTATCTATTATTGGCAATCATCTTCCTCTACAGTTCCTCTGTTGGAACTGGTCTACACTCTAAAAAAAAAAGGTAGTCCTGTGTGACTACCTTTTGGGTGGTAAACAGTTGTCCCAAATATAACGACCCCTAGGGTAAAAATGACGACCCCAGGCGTAGTCAAAAAGCGGGTAGTCAAATTCGACTACCCCTAAAGCAACATGGCGGCCGGTTAGCAAGGCTCGAAGTCCCCGGTAAGGCCTATTAATCGCCGGCGAGACCGGGTCGGCGGAGCCCGCAACCAGAAATGCGCCGACGGCCAACCACATGACCCGCAGCAGCCAAACACGAAATGCCAGGCGGTGGCAGTTTACTTCGCCTCTTGCCCGCGTGACAGCGCTAGCGAGGGGCTGTCGCCATATACGGCTCTGGCTGTCGCCGCCGTCACCCATGTCCCAACGGCATGGATTGGCTCGAGTAGTGGCTGCTGAAGTGACTTCAGATGAGTTTCGTTCTTTCGCTCATTTCTTCTCACTGACCTTCTCTCCCATTTGGAAGTGACGACACCGGATACAGTCTGGCGCCTGCTCGCCCGGCTGTTTGGAGTTTGGGCGGAAAAAGCGCCGGAAAGTTCCCGGTGCTTGCCGGAGAACCACCACCCGAACGGTGCACGCCGGCCAGAAACTGACCATGCGAACTTTATAGCCGGTTTTCCGGCAAAATAAGTTGCCGACGATTGACCACCCGAATTCGCCAGCCGTCCCCAGAAACCGGTACCACCCGGAAGGAAGGCAGTGTGTGTGCCGGAGCCGCCGCGATTGCCCCTGACGGTATCTCGCTAGATGGACTATATTTTTCCAGCCGACGGAAAACGCTCAAAAAAGAAATGGTCACGCGAGGGATGGGCATGCTGACTTTACTAAACACATCGTATTCTTGTCGTATGCGGCGATAAATCGCTGGGCACCTTCGTAGACACCGACGAGAGGCGTTCGACGGTTCAATTCCCACCAACGCTATCAATATTTTTATTTATTTTTATTTTTTTTCTATCTCTTCTTGCTTGTGCCTACCTCAATTGACGTGGTTATTCATTGTTGCCTGCACTTCGCAGGTTTTCGACACAGAACGAGCATTTAGGTTTACTGAGTGACACAATTATTACGTTTGTTATCGAACTGAGAGACAGAGAAGTAGGGAGGCCAGTGAATCGCGGGCCAGCTCTTTGTAATCAATATCTACAGGACTATTAACCCTTCGCACATTGAATTGAGCGGCACCTTCAGCCACCTAGGAAGTGTAGTAGTAACTGCTAGATGGCACTAAAAGTACTCATGCACCACTGATACTACTCCACTTACTACACATTCATCAGAACACATGCAACTTCTCATAGACCAGTACAAACCAACCGAGATACCGAACACTGTTACAGGCACATACATGTCAGCAGAACAAGGCGGAATTTACTCCAACACAACACCCTACTTGACTCTCTATTCAAACCTCCATACCGACCCGATTCGTATATATGACCTACCATATTCTGACAAGGATTAGGCAAGTGAGTGCCATTGTTTACTAGACGAGTACAAAGCGTATTTGCAACTATTATTGGTATACAAGTGCCCTGTGTATTTAAATTGGCTGGCTAGGCACCTCTCTTAATCTAGTACTTCAAAGGGCAACATGATATGAAAGCAATCAGCTAAATTAACTCCGAAAGGCATGCCCTCGATCAGTTTCGGTTTCAGATTCACGCAGTCATAAGCTAACTGAAGCCATGTTGCCCCATGCTCGTTCCGCGCGCGTAATAGCAGCAAAAGTTAGAATACTATCTGAATTCCCAGTCAGTTATCGGCTAAAGGTAACGTAATTCTTATTCTCGTGTTGTTCCATTCGTTTTTAGAGCGCAGCTATTAGGTGCCCGTTTCCGGCTTGAGCGGCGTCGGCGTCGCCGTCGCCGTCGGCGTAACCGCGCGGTGCAATATGGGTAAATTTCCCCGCTAAATCTAGCGAAAAGATTTCACCGCTAAATCTAGCGGAGAAATTTCCCCGCTAAATCTAGCGAAAAAATTTCCCCGCTAAAGCTAGCGGAAAAATTTTCCCGCTAAATCTAGCGCAAAAATAACCCCGCTAAATCTAGCGGAAAAATTTCCCCGCTAAATTTAGCGGAAAAATTTCCCCGCTACATTTATCGGAAAAATTTCCCCACTAAATCTAGCGGAAAACTTTCCCCGCTAAATTTAGCGGCAAAATTCCCCCGTTAAATCTAGCTGAAAAAGTTTCCCGCTAAATCTAGCGGAAAAAATTTCCCCGCGAAATCTAGCAGAAAAATTTCTCTGGGGGTCACGTGACCCCCAAGGTCACGTGACCTTGAAGAGGGGGTCATGTGACCCCCAAGGTCACGTGACCACCCCCCCCCCCCCCCCCGAGGTCACTTGACCCCGCCCCCCGAGAACGCGTGAACCTCAGTACCCTTCCCTCCTCCTCCTCAAGAGCTGCGCTCTAATTCGGCATTACATTTTTCCCCTCAAATTCAGTATTTTAATTGCAGCGGGCAAACGCTAACGGCACGCTTTCCCGTGTTGGTCGAGCGACCGATGAGTCGCTCTACTCTCTTGACTTTAAAAGCCCCTAAATTAAACTGATGTTAAAAAAAAAGTATTCTGGTACACATATATATGTATATATATATATATATATATATATATATATATATATATATATATATATATATATATATATATTTATTTTTTAAAACTACCTTGTGGGTACTTTTGAAACATTGTGGAAATTGAAATCTGAAAATGAATATTTTTCCAGCACTGGACTCTCAAACTATAATAATTATAGTAACTATACTTTCTGAAGCCAGAAAGAACCTTGCGGCTTTCTTATTGGCACCTTTGAATATGAAACAAACCAATAAACACATAAAAACGGGGAACATTCCACCAAAAGATAATGTTATGTATGCATTACAAACATTAAATAATCAAAACATGCAACACTGCAGTCATTTCACTATTCTAAAAACAAATATCCGAAAATATGTATAACATAAAAAGGAAAATGATTTGCAGCAAGCAAGATACTGGGTCGTAGAACCAGTTGAAACAATAAAAAAAAAGTATGAGGGGGTACCAAAAGTAACTGGACTGAATTTAAAGGGGGCGGGAAGTTCGTAGTACAAGCATCTGTCTCTAGGAGCGCTAAGCGGCACCCTTCCTGAGTCAGTTTGCCGACCGGCGTCGTCTGCTAACGATCTAGCGGCATGTTGTTAATTTTTTCCCAAGCGCTTCAAAATCATTCCATGTTTCTTCTTTTTTTTTTTTTTGCAATCTTCGACTTGAAGGATTTTCCACATGCACAAAACTATTTCCTTTCAAGACTTTTCAATGGGCGAACAGAAAAAAAGTCACGCGGGGTGAGGTCCTGAGAATACGGGAGGTGCAGAATTGGTGTCATGGTAATGTTTTCTTAAAATTTGTGGCACTGACAGGGCAGTGTGTGCTGGGGCATTAATGTGATAAAACTATCACTCCCCCCCCCCCCCCCCAGCCCCCCATCGGGGCATTTCTGTCTTACTGAGTTTCGCAAGTGTCGCCATATTCCTAGGTAAAACACATGATTAACAGTTTTGCAAAGAGAAACAAACTCGGAGTAAACAATACACAAATTTTTCGATGTTTTCATCATTTTAGGATGTTGAGGGTCGCCCTGAACGAGGTTGGCCGTCAATCAATAATTCAACGTCCTTAAAGCGAGAAAACCACTCATAGACTTGCGATTTCCTTTAGCACCTTTTTTGTAAGCTCTCTGAACCAGTACAAAAGTTTCCGGTGCAGTTTTGCCTAAAAGAAAACAAAATCTCATGGTCGCATGTTGTTCGTTCATTTCAAACATCGCAAAAATAACAAGGAACGATATTTTGGAGCGCTTGGAAAAAAATTATAGCAGACAATGTTGGTCGAAAAACTCATTCGGATGTGGTGCTGCTAAGCACTGCTAGTTGCGACAGCTGACACCTACCAACGGCCCACCCTTGAGAAATTCATTCCGGTCACTTTTGCATCCACCCTCGTATGACTCAGTGTACCAAAAGCTTTGAATATATGCCATGG